TTTTACACGTTGTGAAGGCGGTAATAATAATTTAATTCTTAATTTTTGTTTATTTGTATCCACTCATGATATCTTCTGAGATAAATGTCTCGATTTCATCGACAAGCAATAAGACCGTAGAATGTTTCAGGAAAATGGCGCCCGGAGAAACAGATATAGGAAAAACCAAAAGACTGTGTTAAATATTCATTGACTATCGAACAATACTCAACAGGGGTGGCTTAGCTAAAAGCCCGGAAGTGCATTCTTTTGGCGGATGTGTTTTCATAAATATATGAAAGGATCAGATCTTTCTGAAAAGAAACGGTCCATAAATTTCCCCCGCCATTTTATTTCTCTTATCAATCTTACATTATTCATTGGCTTCTAAGCGTGGCTTAAAATAAGACAACAATGTGCGGGGCAAAATATACATGACATCATCGATTACCTGTCAAACAGTATTAAGAATCAATGCACGCATGCGCGTACGCAGATTCATAATTTTCTGTGCGGCTCATATAATTGTAGAATGAAATACGCAGATCTTTGTGTTGTTTCTTTAACTGATAATCACAATGTGTTTTCGAGGTTATTTTCTTCTGTCTGTTCATGATTCTCTCTTGATAATTTGCTCTGTGGTTTCCGAGTTCAAGCAGCCAATTTTCTGTTTGTCTCTTTCAAGTTCTGATGGCTTGTCTTTGACCTTGTCTCTGTCTTCGAATAAAGCAGGAACAAATTTTCTTTCTCACATACATGTCTTCTAAAGCTAAACTAAACATCGAGAAATGTCATCAGTTTTTTTTCACAATATATTGATTACTTCGTCGCAATGGCTATCACCAAAAAAAAACAAAAAAAAACAGCGTAAGGAGCATTTCTATAAAACAGATTACTCTGATATCTGTTTTCTAAAATTGCCGAAAACTGATTCGAAATTAACTGGAGTCTGGGGGTACGTTTCTACGCTGGAAATTCTTCAGGTAGGGTCTCTAGAAAGATATTACCTTTAAAAATAATTTTAGAAGTCTTACGCAAACACAAATAGGAACAAAATGTATGACATTCATGTTTCAATCTTTCTCGGGATTATCAGCCCGCGTTGAAAATCAGCATTCAAAACCCTGAACTTATACATGGGTTTGAAGATCAATCCTTGGCAATCATGAAAAATATGGTAATACTACAACTGCTAAGAAAAATTCCCAACTGTCGCATGTGTTCTATAGATCAGATTTTTCTCAACTAGCTATTCACAGAAACACTATATTTTTTTTACAAGAGATCGCTTTGGTATTTTGCAGCGTACAGTATTAAAATATAATATATAAGGATAATATTGTATTGTAGCTCATTCTTTAAATTTTGTTTTACATTTATGATCACCCTATACAAGGCCCCAAAACTACTCGAGGTAGATCATTACAAAGTACGCGACACAGTTTTTAGGGATATGTATGTAAGATACCTGTTAACCCTCGACTTGAACAGGTTCAGACTGTAGTGATGGTATTTATCAATATTTATCAGTATTTATCCACCCACGGGGATCGAATGTGGCACAAGGCCTTTTTAATGTCAACCTCCCCCAACGAAACCCTACCCTTCAAGCAGAGAGTTTGACAGACACTCGACCCGGCAGCTCACAAAGCGCAGATACTACACTTTGATCCTAGCCACCGGGCCGAGCGGGTATTCTTTTTATAGATACTGTAGTGATAGGGGAAGCATACTTTTGGGAGTCGGTTGCACAAAACTGCGGTAAGCGGGGAGGAGATATTCAGGTGGAATAGGCATATCATCACTGAATAAATGATAAAAATTGAGGTGGTGAGAAAACATTACAAGAAACGGTAACATGGCGCAAAATGTGTCTATATTTTTGAAATTAGGTATTTTAACTATTTACACTATATTATTCGGACTATTGTCCTCGTATTTATTACAATATTAACGACGCTTCGACCGTTGTAAGCTGCGGCATTCTTCAGGTGATATACTTTTGAATTTCGTAGAGCTTCTCTGTGGCTGAATAGTAAACAGCACGTCAGGTCAAATGACGTTTCCCATTAGGGTTACTGGTTTAATTCCTGTCGAAAATCGCATATTTTTGCGAAATTTCTCGAACATTCGGGCATGTTGTTGATAATGTTTAATTAACATGTTGTTGATAATGTTTAATTAACATGTTGTTGATAATGTTTAATTAAAAAAAAACAGTGCATTTACTTAAATACATTATATCTCTATAAATATCGTATAAACAGAAAACAAATTATGCATTCATACATACATACATATATATATATATATATATATATATATATATATATATATATATATATATATATATGGTGGAATCTCCTGTCGTATTCGACGTATAAGGGTCAAACAGCTCAGTTCCTAGGAACCGACAGCCAGATACCAGCACATATGATTTGATTATAGTGGTGATGGCTTTGTGCAGAAGCAAACACACTTTTTGAACGGCGGATTACAGAGAATGATATAATTAGCTAAAATTATTATGCTTTGTGTGTTTATTTAATGCCAAATCATATACTTGCTATGTTATCCTATACCAGACTGTGTCCAGAGATAATATCGAACTTATATGCCGCATATAAATGAAGAGTTTACGAGGTCATTTGAGAGCTCATGGAAGAGCCAAGAATTGGTTAATTTAAGGAAGAGGTAATGCTCTAAATCTTTTAGGCATCCTGTATATATAACAAATGTCTTCAGAGTACGAAAAGCGATAGTGAAGAATGCCTAATGCTTCATATCGTTTTTTGTTTACAGATATATTTTATTTATATCTGAATGTTTACCCCTCCATGTATATATATATATATATATATATATATATATATATATATATATATATATGGGCAGCATATTTTCATTCAAGCATATTTGGTTACATAATTTAAACGTATTATGTCTATTCATTTTAGTTTCAATCTTCACATGTCCACGAGTCATTTTCTTGGTGGCTGTCGAAAATTGCTTAAAAAAATTCCAAAATTTTCCCTCAAATGACCCCTATTTTTCTAAGTACCTTCAGTCTCATCTGAGACCATCTTCAGGAGTTGCACATCTAAGGATGTGTTCTGAACCAACACTACAAATTCAAAATACCGTTTTCTCTCCATGCAAGAAAGGTAACCCATGTTAAAAGGTTTAAAAATCAAAAAAACCTTTTCAAAGATTTTTTAATTGTAGTATTTTAATTTAGTACCTCCCATATAGAGCTTTGCCGCTAAAAAACATCCAAGAACTTTGTTGTGATACTTGTAGATGACTTTATTTATTATTGGCCACAATTCCCTTTTATATAAAATTAGAAAAGTCCCAACTCAATTCATAAGACGTTTGGCACGCGAGAGAGATGTTTCAGCTTTGACAGTCAAAAGAGCTTTGAAAAAAGACTTGAATATGAAATCTTACGTGAAAGATGTAAGGCATCTTTTTACTCCAGGACATAAAGTTAGAAGGTTAGAGAGGACGAAGATCATCTTGAATAAATTGGAAAATGATCCTGAAATTATATATATATATATATATATATATATATATATATATATATATATATATGTATTTGAATTTTATTTCAATACTTCATGAGCTTCTGATCTTTAACTTTGATTAATTAATGATGAACACGTCATTTTCGTTTAGGATCGATTTCATCCCGATACTTCTGTTAAGCTTAGAGAGTAATTATACATTCTTATTGTTGATAGTAGAGTCCAATAATGTTATAAAAACCTCAGAGAATTCCAGTAAGTTATCTTTAATCTTTTTCTAAGATACAACAGCTCAAAGCTTAATCTAACAATTGGACAATTTTGGTGTTACACGATATGTGTATGTGTTTGTCTATGAAAATAAATAGTGAAATACCAAAGAAAAAAAAAGGAAATAAAACAAAAGAGGAAGAAAAAAAACTGTATATAAAAGTGAAGAATGAATGCGACAGAGGAAAGAGAGGCAAAGAGTTCAAAGAAAAAAATAAGGTTTCTAAAGTGTTATATACCGTACCTATAAACGCTAATGGGCATGTCCCAATTCTCATATATACGTTGGACACTATTGTAAGTGGGGGTGATATGGTGTCTACGTAGTCCACTACTAGCAGTGGTTTACCTACTTCACGCCGTTGGTGAGTATTTTATTTTGTTGATGTTATAAAGACTACTATTTCATTTCCAACCTCCGTTTTGGTTATTCCTCATTCAGTAAAAATTCCTAGGTTACAACATAAAAAGAAAGAAAGAAAGAAAGAAAGAAAGAAAGAGAGAAAGAGAAAAGGACACAAAAATAAAAAGGAAGAATGAAGGAAATAAAGGACGATGAGAAAAAGGCAAAAAAATCAAAGGAAATAAATCCAAAGGGCAAAAGAAAGAAATAATGAATAAGTAAACAGTATAAAGAGAGAGAAGAGAGAAGAATAAACGTAATGAAGGAAGAAGAATAAAAAAGGAAATAAATAAAAAGAAAGAAAGGGAAAATAGAAAAAAAAACAACAAAAAAAAAAGAGGAAAAACGAAAGATGATGGAAGAAGAAAAGGAAATAAATAGAAGGAGAAATCGGGAAAGAAAAAGAAAGAGAATACAAAATGCAGGGAAAATAAAAAAAAAGTATGAAGAAAGTTAAAATATAAAAAAGAAAAAAAAGGTGAAAGAAAGAAAATCATCATGAATTTGGAGGATTTCCAACATTGTTACGGGCCCAAACAAAACATTTTGAATGTTTCTCAGGCTTGCACCGTAACGTTTTAAGGTGAACAACCGAAAAATTGTGGAAACAAATGAGAAAAAGTTGCAAAGACAGAAAAAAGTGATGAAATAAATAAAAAATGTGAAAAAGATACGAAATGAAGAACGAAAAAATCTACAAAGAGAAAAACAAAGGAAATGACGACATGGAAATAAAGAAGAAAATAAGGCAAAAAGCACACAAACCAATGAATTAAAGAAAGAAAAAAAATAGTTAAATGTAAGTAGAAAGCGAAAAACTAAAATGCAGAAAGAGTGAAGAAAAAGAGAGAAGGAAAATGAGAGGAAGAATGAGAAATTAAAAATGAGAGAATGTAGACAAGATGGACAAAAGAAAGAAAATGAATAGAAAATATAAATAGGGTGTAATAGGAAGAAAGAAAGAATGAAAGGGAAACTAAAGTGGGGGAATCTGGAAAGAAAATCGAAAAGAAAATGGTAAATGAAAAGAAAGAAAAAATGAAAGAAATAAAGTTTCAAAAAGAAAGAGTAAAGAAAAGAATATTAATTACAGGAAGAAAGAAAAAGAGAAGTAAAAGAAAGAAAATGAAGAAAATAAAGACGTAAAGAAAAATGAAAGTAACAAAGAAAGAAAGAAAATAAAGAAAGAAAAATGAAGGAAAAAGTCTAGATAACGTGAAAAAAGTCCGAAAGGATTATGAGTGAAGAAATGAAAAACAGTAAAAAAAAAAAAAAAAAATTAGTGATTGAAAGGAAACAAAATTAATTGATCGAAGACATTGGAAGGAGGCGGAGACTATTGTAATAAAATTATCGGACCGTGTAATTTGGATGATTAATTAAAGTTATTAAGACAAAATCAAGCAAGCAAGAAGAATAAGAAGAAGAGATAGAAGAAGAAAACTATTAGGAAGAGAGAAATGAAAAAGAATGAACATAAATGAAATTGAAAGATAAAGATATCAAAAAGAAAATATCTCAAGAAAGACAATTTAATTCAGTATAGGACAAAAGGTTGAAAAAAGGGAAAAAGAACAGTATTTATAATAATAATAATAATAATAATAATTAATTCCAAAAAATGCTAAGCTATTTTTTCAATGCAAATCATTCCAATCACGTGAGGCTGTGATAGTTAAATCGGGATGCGTCTTTAATTTGCCTGTACTTCAATAAGTGAACGCGAAACCGGAATTTAATATTCGTTCATTTAAAAAAAAAAGATGGCTAGAGCTTTTCTTTTAGTCAAATCGATTTGTCTATTTATTCATTTTTAATACCGTTAATTATATAAGATTTGATTATTACGCAGGAAATTGAGGTTAATGAAAGTGAACCTCAAGAGCCCTCCCCTTCCTCCCCCATTCACCATTCTCACCGCGCGTACATCTCTACCGGAGGCGCGTCAAGAAAAGTCAAGTAAATAAAAAAATCAGATTCGAAAAATCAAAATGTCTTACTGGCCAACAGACAAGCCTGTTACTGATTACAATATCCATTTGAAAAAAGAATTATGTCGTTTAAAGAATGCAGGTAAAATCCGAAAGACTTAAGCAATGAAAATGAAACTGACGAGTTGAGTTCAAATTCCAGATGAGTCAGTTTTGAGTATGTCACAGTTTTTTGGACACATGTATGTACTAGTGAGCAAGTCAAAATGAGCTGACTCATTTTATAGTTCACCAATAGAAGGGTTAACCAATCAGAAAGCTCAAAATATTCAATGCGACGTGTATAAATGCAGCCATTTTGTTTTTTCTCCCAAACTATCCTCACTGTCAACCGGATATCGAAGACTTAAAGAATTACTTAACAGCCGATACTTTCTCTGAATCTTCACTGCCAAACTCTGATATTGAACACATTACGGACTTCACTGGATTCCATATTCAGAGTCTACGGCAAACATGGTCAACAGAGTACACCTTGAACATTGGTAAAGGTGTGAATTCATTTCATCTTCCCTCAGCTATGGATTAAATAATACCACAGATTGATCCGTTTACTTTTGATTGTCCGTGTAGTAAGAGGACAGAATTAAAATCACCATTGCCTTGATGTCATACCCACTTTTAACCAGGGCTTCAGGTGTAGGACCTGAGATGAAATTAGTAACTGTAGTCCTTAGGACACTCTGAAGATTATATGGCAACTCTTGTGAGAATACGGATACAAAGCTGGAAAACACTGATGACGTGGAGAAGGAAGGCTTGCTGTGTCGACAACTGCTTGTATTTCATGCGTTCTGTAGATGGAGGAAAACATTCCAAGCCCAGATCTATGGAATCAAGCAACTAAAAGATACAACAGCGATTAAATAATAATACATTCTTGGATTAATATTTTATGTTTGTTTAACAGTGTTTAGTACTTAGCCTGTTATTTATTTATAGGGAGAAATATATACGCGTTTTCTTCAAGGGCAGTAATACGGGTGACCAGAAGCTATCCCAGTCGGAGTTTGAACTCAGTTCTCCCAATTCAATTCTCTGTGCCATTATCTTCTTCTTCTTCTTCTTCTTCTTCTTCTTCTTCTATGCTGTGTCCCTTCAGATCGTTGACAGTTATGTCTCTCCACAATTTCCTGTCCTTTGTAGCTCATAGCATTTTTTTTGTTATCTTTCCTAACCCTGTTCTGTCATCCATTCTTACAAGCTCAGCAGGTACGTAATGCATAGTTTTGCTTTGTCCATTTGACTTCAATATGTTCTGTGAGTGGCAAATTTTCTAGGCGCTTTTACCTCACCATGTGCCCTAGAAATTTCAGCATTTTCTTTCTTTAAGTATAAATGTCTTTTTGTTTCCATTTTCTCTAAAACTTCATCGTTGCTCACATGTTAAGTCCATGGTATGCTCAGCATCCTTCTGTAGAACCACATTTCTATCGCCTTAAGTTTCTTTTTTTGTCTGCGCAGAGATGCTTCAGCAATATCTTAACATTTAAAGAGTGAAAGTGAAAGTGAAAGTAAAAGTGAAAGAGAATAAAAAGATTGACAATGGCGAGGATAGAGGAAAGGGCAAAAATGGAACGGGATTCACGAAAACAGATGATAGCCACTGACGTTGCATTTAAACATTTTTAAAAGATTGTCGTTGGTAAGATTGTAGTTGTCAGGGAAGCAAGAAATCGGTAGTTCCAAAGGGGGAACCTGTAAGTGCTAGAGTAAAAGTGGCGGTTGCATCTAGCTAGTTCGACAGTAAAACGGGGAAACCTAGCTGCAAATCTAGTAGCACGCTTAAATTAGCGTAGTCGAGGTACCAGGCAAACAACAACAAAAAAAGGTAATGCTTTCTTCTTGCTTTCTTTTTACTATTTTATGATTCTATCGTCAAAGCTGTTTCCAATGCATAACGTATGTTGTTAAGATTATATTAGCGAATATTAAATTCTGATAAGGTCCTTTTTATTCATGTTGCTGTATAGTTTAAATAAATCAAGTGATTGCTGTCTGAGTTCGCTTTCTATTAGTCTGTATTTACTGGACTCGTTCTCTGTCCGCACGCAGGATATTTTTTCCCAATAAAGTTTACGAATTATTCAAATATTTTCCCATATAAATCAATCAAGCATATCTTCATGTAGTATCTTATCAAACGCTTTTTCATAATCTGTGAGGAATATGAGTAGGTTTTTCTGCATTTGCATTGCTCACTCCGATAGCATTCTGACCCCCCAAAATAGCATTTCTTGTTCCAGTGCCTCGAACAAAGTTATACATTTTTTCGTCATGTTTACGGTCTAATTAAGCGACGGGAGCAGCAGAGAAAATTAAAAGAATGTAATAAAGAAATAAGGGAGGAAAACTGTAAGAACTAAAAAAGGAAAGAAAGAAAGAAAGAAAGAAAGAAAGAAAGAAAGAAGGAATCCGGAAAAAGAAAAGAGGAAGACAAAGTGAGAAAAGTGCTGGACGGAAATTAAAAACAAGTAATAAAACAAGAAAAAAACACGGCAGCTGAACACTAAAGTTCTTTTCCAGTGAAAATCATTCAACTCACTTAAGGCTGTGATGGGCTGGCAAACCTTGTTATTCCAGCTTATTTGAAAAAAAAACGGTGTGTATGCGTGCATATAGGCATGTGTACATGTAGACCCATGTTTCTATCCGTGTGTATAGGCGATGTCGTTATGTGTATACACATTTAAGCAGGATCAGAAAGTATGCCTGAACGAAATGCAGATAAAATTTTTGAAATTATTAAATCGAATAAACACAGCTGAGTCATTTGCAAAAATATAACGAGAAACAATAAATATGTAAAAAATAAGATTTTACTATTCCTTTATAAAAAATATTTTAATTAAAAATAATGTTTATGAAAAAAATCGAAATAAAAATAAATTCAGATTAAAAAGAAGATTTTAAAGAAATATGAACAAATTTAAGTTATATTAAAGAAAACAAAATAAAAAAAACAAATGGACGCTCTTCGCCTTTGCACTCATTGCCTGGCGATAAAGGATGGTTGCATCTCAGGGAATAGAACTGACTAGAAAAAGTTTCGACCTTAATACATTTAATATTTCTTTCGCGAAGGGCTACCGTTAAGACGTGTTGAAATCAAGAGTCAAAGCGATTTAGAAAAACGTCACAACGTTTCCTAGATGAAGCATGGCCATTATTAAATTTTATGTGTTTTGCTTTCACTTTATTTCCGTTGCATTTTAGTGCAGTATTCAGGCTGTTTTTACTTTCTACAGCATTTGTCAGCATTATGATTAAAAAAAATAAAATAAAAAAACAACCGTAGCTATTTGTAATTTTCTATGGTGATGTCATCATGTTAGACGTGTATCCAGAAGTTTGAGATGTGAGTTCAAATCTAGAAAGAAACTTTTTTTGATTCATTCGGCTTGCCTGATGGTTGCAGAAGAAAAAAGATATGATATCTTTAATAAAAGTCAACAAAATTAAGACAAAATAGAAAGAATAATAATAATAATAATGATAATAATAATAATAATAATAATAAATACATGCAGGATCTGAATAAAATATGAGGGAAATGTCGAACATATTACTTCAGGATGTCCGGAACTCGTAAAAATGAATATACCCACAGACGTAACAATGTAGTGAGATATGTTCACTGGAAGACAAGCAAGAAGCACAAAATCAAAACTACTGAGAGATGGTATGAGCCCCAACCAGACACAGTTACACAAGATAACGATGTAACTATCCTCTGGGACATGCCGATTCAAACTGACAGGGAAATAAAAGCCAACAAACTTGATATTATCATAACGGATAAGAAAGTCAGTAAGTATATGCTTATTGAACATAGCAGTACCATTTGAGAGAAACACCACCGTGAAAATGATCGAGAAATCGTCCAAATACAATGACAGAGAGGTCAAGATTTACAGGATGAGGGGAAGACTGAGACTACAACAATAGTAATCGGAGCTCTGGGCCTTGTGAGAAAAGGAATGAACAACTTTACTAACAGTGTCCCAGATAACATCAACAGGTTGCCGAGAAGATTTCCCTACTAGGAACACACTATATACAAAGAAAAGTGCTATCAATTAAGTGACAATTCTCAAATAGGACCTAAGGTCCTTAGTTTGGACCCGGCTCTACAGGATACAAAGCATGAAACATAACATACACAAATACTACTACTACTACTACTACTACAAATAATAATCATCTTCTTCTTTGGGGATACCTTAGATAGGATATGACGCTCATTACGCAGCTGAAAAAGAGTCGTAAAGGATATCAAACAAATAATAATAATAATCTTTGGGATACCTGACCACTTAAGGCGTGTGCAGATGCCAGTGTTACTTGGTACAGCTCATATGCTGAGGAATATGTTGCATCTACACTCTCGGTAAGAGCTAAGATATGACCCTCATTACACGACTGAAACACATAAGAGTCGTAGAGAATTCAATAATAATAATAATAATCTTCGAGGATACCTAATGATCTAGGAATTGTGTAGATGTCAGTGCTACTTGGAACAGCTCATATGCTGAAGTAAGTGTCGTTTTCTATGCTGTCGGTCGGAGCTAATATATGTCCCTCATTACACGGCAGAAAAACCTAGGAGTCGTAAATGATCCCAAACAAATACTAATAATAATCCTCAGGGATGCCTGACTACCTAGGAAGTACGCATATGGTAGTGCAGCTTGGAACAGTTCATATACTGAGGAAAGTATTGTTTCTAAGCTGTGGATAGGAACTAAAATATGATCCTCATTACGTGACTGAAACACCTAAGAGTCGTAGAGGATCTCAAGCAAATAATAATAATAATAATAAAAGAAAATAGCAAGGTTGTTAATTGAATCTTAGGATCAAGTGATTAAAACAAGAATACTCAGAAAATATGCGGACAAAGAAGACATTTCATCGGCATGCAGATTGCGCGTGGAAAGCAAACAGAACTCTTGAATATGCAGATCCACAAGGTTCCATGCTTGCACAGAAATTTCGAAAAAATTGGAGACATGACAAATTGGCTGCAGTTTCACACTGTAAACTTAGTTAAAAGTTTGGATTTGGTCCTACAGATAAATAGTATAATTATAGACCGTCGAATGTTATCGATGATGAAAAAGCAATATGTTTGTGTTTATATATATATATATATATATATATATATATATATATATGTTTGTGTGTGTGTGTGGTGTTAGTTTTGAAGCCAAAATTGCTGATTTTTCAGTAGTTTGCTGATAGAAAGGCATTTATGGTAGAGTGCTTAATATAGGAGACAGCGATAGAGCGTTAATTGAATTAATATGAATTTTGTTTCACTTAACTGACCTGTATTTCCATCATGCTGACTTTGGAGTATATAGTTGTTCTCGGGATGAAGACCTAGTTCCTCCCCGCCCGAAAGCAGAGAGTTCAACCGATCAACCGGTCAAGACTTGAACGACTGACGATATTCAGTCACCCCCCACCGGGGCATCATGTGGCACAAGGCCGGTTTTTTAACGTGGGATCTCCGAGCTCGTGGGCTCTGACAAAAAATATGCCCATTGAGCACGTATAAACGGGTTCAGAGTCGGTTTACCTCCCCGAAAGAGACTCCGCCCTTCGTCGTAGCCTCGTTCGGGTTCCTCCCGCCCGAAGGCAGATCAGCCGGTCGATCGAGATCGACTTGAACGACTGCCGATATTCAGTCCCCCCCCCACTGGGGCATCATGTGACACAAGGTCGGTTATTTATTGTGGGTTCTCCGAGCCCGTGGGTTCGGACCAAAAATATGTCCATTGAACCCGTATAAACGGGTTCAGGGTCGGTTTACCTCCCCGAACGAGACTCCGCCCCTCGGCGTAGCCTCGTTCGCGTTCCTCCCCGCCCGAAGGCAGAGAGTTCAACCGAACAGCCGGTCAGGACTTGAACGACTGCCTCCTTGCCTACTCCTGAGGCGCAGTATTTATTAAGTATGGAATAGTCCATTATTATTATTATTACTATTATTATTGTTATTATGAGTAAGATCCCATAACAATAATAATAATACTGAATATCAGATTTTTCAAAATCTAAGACTATTATGTCTACTATAACTAGTAGTAAACAAGCAATATGGTGCTTTCAAAGAAAAGAGTAGCTGTAAGACGAGATTTGAATTCCATCTGCTGATAGAGTTCTGATGTCAAATCAGTAAACCATCTTCCTTGTGCTTCTATGGATATGGGAAGAGATTTCATATCTACTCGGAACCTAATTCTTTATTTCTAATTCATACTACTCATTAAACGGTCGTACAATCTAAAAACGACCTCCTGAACCCTGCGATCAAAAATAGATAAAAAAAAAGGGAGAATATACAAAAAGGAAGTATTTGGTAGATGATCCATCCAAATCTATTCTTAAAATTGCAATTGCACAATCAAAATCAGTCGATCCGGGAATGGATAGTCAGGAGCGAACAATTAGGTTATTTAGTACGTGCGTTCTGGCAACTGAAATCTTTCTGCTGGCTTCATTACCGAAGGAATGGAGCCTGAGAATATATGAACAGCGAAAGAGTAAAAAAAAAGGATAGTATCAGCGAATAGCTTATTGTATGAGAGTCTAGTGTGGTAAATATTACGACATGCAAATGGCAAATAGAGAGCGTGTCAGAATTAATTTTGCATGGCGGAAATGGTCGGGGAAGAGGCGAGCAGGTAATTTTGTAACACATCAGGTCATTTGAATCTCACAATTTCCATATCTGATGTTTTGGACGACGGTTTCAATGACGTTATTTACCGAGCGTTCATTAGGTGAGTCGCTGTTTCAAAATTCCTTGAACTCGCGTGTTGCAATTGGGTACCAAGCATCAAATAACTGCCTACGTGCCCGCTAATTACCAAACTCACCCCTCTGCGTCCAAATCCTTATATGTATAAATCTTTGTTGCGTATTTGCAGAGAGATCGGAGTGGGGTGTAACTGGTCATACCCACTGTGTGCACATGGATGCTCATGACGAAAATTCCATGGAGGAAACGCGTGCATTGCACGGTTAAAATGTTTTTCAAGATAAATAGCTTTTGTTTCATAAATAAAAAGAATTATTGATAATTGTTATTACCCTCTTTGAACTTCTGACAATTTTTAAAAGGTCTCCTATTCCTTCATTTCTTAAGATAAATTGTGAACTAAAGATATTAGTAGATTAGTGTAAGCAGAGAAGGCCCCTGTTTTCGCATATCACTATCGCACCAGTTCTATGCACATAAAACATGGAAGAACTGTATGAAAGAAAGATGGAAGCTAAGTATTAGTGAGCGAGAAAAAGATTTACAGAAAAAAGTAATGGATATAACTGCTTCTTCTTGTTATCCATATATATAAATATATATATATATATATATATGTAAAAGAAAGAGGTTTTAGTGGTTCCAACGAGAGAAAAGTATGTATATTAAAAAGAAGAGAGGAGAGGTGCCGCAAACGTTTTTGGTTGTAATGCGAATTTATTTAGAAAAAAATGTTATACTTTGTTTTACAATTATGTAAACTTCTCTTATATATATATATATATATATATATGTGTGTGTGTGTGTGAAGAAATATAATTCTTAACATGTGCTATATTTATGGGATAA